CATGGCGTCAGTCACCTGTGAGACATCAAATCCGGCTTGAACGTGGGCAAGCGAACGTGGTAGAGCCTCCTTAGGGTTTTCAGAACCATGAGTGCGAAGCATTTTTCTTTGTTAGGAGCAACCCAAGCCATTTCAAGATTTCTTGTTGAACATGCAAGCCCGTTGTGGTTACCGGTTTGGTTGGTGCTCACTTCCTTTGGTGAGGCTGTGCTTTCCGCTGCTTTCCGCAGCTTATGGGTAGAACAAGGGAGTTTTTCAACATAATCCATGTGGAAGCGCTGGGAAGGATCTCTTGGTACTTGCGCTGCACTAGGGCTACTGTTACAAGGTTCCCTCTGCCCCCATTATGTCGCCAATCAAGCACGTGAGGGCGCTCGGCTTTTCCATCATGTTGCAAGCATGAAGAACTAGTTACGCATATTAGGAAACGCCAGCGTCATCTATAACTAAAACCACAAGACGCTGCGGGCGAAACCTCTACCCTCAATGATGCAATAGTTTCCGTCCTCTCATCCCTTCATTCCCTACTAACCCAGTAAGGTGCCTGGAATTCCTGCTGTTTTTCAGCCGCTGTTTTTGACCCCTTGAGCATCAGAGTTTCCGAAAACTTCCTGAATGATTCCTCAGAAGGGCCACTGTGCATATTCAGATTTCTGGGATCTTTATAGGTACCCCTTCAGCAGCTGTTTTTGGCTAGCACGCGAGCCTCTTCTTCGGTGCTAGGAGTCTGGCTGCTGGAACAAAACTGTCAGGTTAATTAGCGTTGTGGCACCGCTCCTGTGCCATGGCGTCAGTCACCTGTGAGACAGCATGTAAAAGGTTTGAACGTTTGAAGTCCAGGAGAATTGTGCGAGATAGATGACAGATGACCTTCACGGTGAGGCCTACAGACGGACCGTTTCACAGGCGCAGGTATACTTACTTGTTGCCTGCATTGTTTTTCGAATTTTGAAATCATCCATGCGTCTTTCTTGGTTTTGGTATTTGGTGCTCAGAGCCTACCGCATGATCAAATCCGGCTTGAACGTTGAATCCAAAGCCGGGGAGCCACTTCCGGAATTCGAGCTGCGACGCGCTCGCATGTGTCAACAGCTTGGGGCCGTGGCTACACGAAACTGCAAGTAAATTAGCGTTGCAGCCGAACTATCTGCTGCAGCGTCAGTCACCTTTGCTATACTGGAAGGGCTCCAGATGCAAATTCCTTTTGTTCGGGACCCACCTGTCAGCCTTAGGGTGCAGGGTTCAGATTTCAGATGCCAAGTCTTCAGCAGCTTTGCATGCGACCAACGTCCACAATGTAGCCGCCAGCTCCCTACGTTAGCCGATTGTTCGCAGATCCTCACCAGCGATGCCGCAGCACACGGTGGTTGTGCTTAGAGCCCTGGGGGTTTGCCATAATTTAGGAGGACACCCCACCCTGTAATAGTGGTATAATAGGAATATAAGAGGGCCCTAATATAATCCTTATTATCCCCTATAGTCACTATTACTGGGTGGGGGGTCCACCTAAGCCATAATGGCCGGCAGGTCAATTAGCGTCGCAGCTGCAGCTCTTGAGCTGTGGCGTCAGTCAATTCTGCAACAACTGGTACCCTATGTAACCTTCATATGAGCTATAGTCTAAACTCCTTAAATGGGGGCTATATAGGGGATTAATTATATAGGGGACTAATATAGGGGTTACTAAGGGGGATGCTAGGAGTTTAGACTTTTGCTCATATACCATCATCCCTACAGTCCCTGTATAATCCGTTTATATCTTCTCTTTAGGTCAGGCTGGTCCAGGCTTCGTCATCTGCCTACAGTGACAGACTGCAATCGCTAAGCTGCACCTGCGCCAAGAAGTAGCGCTACCCAGAAGTTTTTTCTCATTGCGAGAGCGCAGGACGGCTCCGTAGCGGCTCCACTGAACGGGGTACTATTGATTCTTGATGGCTCCTGTGTTGGAACTCATTCTAACGGTGCCCTCCTCCTTTTGGGGGCAAGCCTTATTGATGACACCCACTGCTGATCTGTTCATGGAGGAATCGTGCACCATGAGGAGCCAGGGTACTGAAGGTGGTTCAGGAGCTCTCCCACAGCAGTAATTCTACCATATCTTGAAACAGGGATCTGCGCTCCACTGCTACAAGTCATTTTTTGGGGGCACCCTTCGGCCGTTTGCAGAAGATCATTTCGTGGTTGGTGGCTCTTAAAAAACAGTGGTCTCTTTCGGCGAGGTCCCGGCTCCTTACTATCGCATGTGCTACATGGAACAAACACAGGGACCTGCAGCAAGATGGCCCTGTGTCGTGAATCAACAATCCTACTAAGCATTTGTGAAGCCCGAAGACCCGGTTCGTGTAGAGAGAGAGAGAGAGAGAGAGAGAATTCCTGCCTAGTATCAAACTCTGGCTATACCTTACTATATAGTAAACCCCGCGGACCCCAGCCGAAAGCTTTTCATGCAAAGCCCTAAAGCCCTCAAAATTCTCAGTTTGTTGCGAGACCACAAGCCCAGGTACTCTCTTCATACTGCTCCACAGTGCTTTGGGTCCAACTTAAAGTATTTGGTGTTTGGGTTGAGGGTTTGGGGTTTATAAGCTAGCTAGCAAGGGTCATTTCCTAGTTCATGCCATACGCCCACACCCTGGCCCCACCCTACGCTTGTACTGCCATTCTAAAACAGTATCCTTAAACCCACCTCACACCACAAACCCTAAACCGAAGCAACCACCTAAACCCTTAACCTTATCCAATACACTATCCAGAACCAAAACTACTTAAACAATCCTTAGCCTTACCCGTTCGAGAGCCAAAGCTGGGCAACGATGATGCTGACATTTGGCGACCTCGTCCTTGAGACAGTGCGCCCTGCATGTTTGACCGGAAAAGCTCAGACCGATCGCATTAAGCATGGCCTGTCAACGGGAGTCAGGAAAGCTTTACAGTTGACATGACCGTGCCCCTGAAATCCAATATTGTTGCATGCGCTTTTTGTTTCAGACGCTTGTGGTGGAAATGTGAACTGCGCGTTGGTGGTGTAAAGACCATGCCCGAAGACTTTTTGGCTGCATGGCAAGTTCAATTTCAGAAAGCTCCCATGGAAGCTCGGGAACTTCGAGCTCAGTGACTCCGAGTCCAGCTGATGAGTTGTTTTTCTGGCAGCTTTGGCACCGCTGGCGGCCTGGCTGGTATGTTTTTGTCCTTGCAGTGAATGCCACGGCTGCAGCCTTGCTGTTTCCTCGTCCTGATCCTCATTATGTGGAAGGCCAGGTTGGAACTCTTGGAGCTGCTAGAACATACTTCAGTGTCCTGATGCTGGCGAGTTTGGGATCTGGTTGCATGGCAGCATGTCTGAGGAAAAGGGCCGGGGCTTCACCTCATGTCAAATCAGCCAGTGACTATGCCATTCTCAACTGGTGCCATTCCTTGTTGGTCTCCATGGCCGTACGGCCGATTGATTTTTCGTATGGCGTTCTGCCACCATATGCTTATCATTACGATGGAGGTTTGTGGAGCACCGAGTCAATTTTTTATTCGTCTGTAGCAGTCTGCAGAGGCATCCTTTATGGTCTCGGCTCAATCTGCATGCAGCATCGCTTCGCGACTGGAGCTCTTGGAGCTCTCTTCCAGTCAGGCATTCGGTGGTCGCTGCATTTGCTGCCTTGTCCGGGTGCAAGCATGCACTGCCAGCGTGGCAGTGATTTCGCTATCACTTGGCTTCTGCTACGAGTTGTTTCCGGAATCACCATGGAAGGTTGTCGAGGCAACGCAGAGTTTGGCAATACTGGCGGGGTTTCTTACTGCTATCGTTAATGTGCTGACAAGCATGATGGCAGCCTGCTTCTTGACCAAATCTTTGCTGGTTTTGCGAAGGGTCTTGAGAATGGCGAAGCTCAATGATGCGTCGGTTGCAGCGCAGTTGTCTCTGAGACGAGCCCGACGCTTGGCTGGCCTGCAGACGATGGGCGTCTCTTGCAGCCTTGTGCTGACAATCTTGGTGATTCCATGCGCTCTTCTAAGTCACACTCATGCCGCGCTTGGCATACCCCTTTGGGCTGCAGTAGGCGTTCAAGCCGTGGATGTCCTTGGGAATGCTCTGGCTGCGGTTCTCCTGTCAGGCGGCCACAGGCTTCCAAAGGTTGACCAGGTGCCTGGCCAACAGTTGTGCTGTTGGGCATGCCGCTGCCAGACCAAAGCCCCACTGGAACAGGAAAGGGATTGGAGCCCGATGTGGAGAGCAAAAGTTGAAGAGCTCTCCTTGCGGGGCATGACTTTGCGCAGCCTCTTGTGCTTTTATCAAGAGACGCTTCTTCCCATGCCCGGCTGGAAATATGCCCCCAGCGACCATAAGACAAGAGATGTGGTCCGTAGGGCCATCATCCCTCTCACCAGCAGGGAGGAATCTGCATATGCAGTTTCGGCTTTGAACAGGGATGGACCTCGAAGAGCTCAGGTTATGGTGACCCACAATTGGGGAAATTGCTGCCAAGGCTAGAATTCAGCGCAATTTTTGTCCAGGGTTTTGTTTGCTCTCTGACACATTGAGATAACGCTAGCATCAGTGGGGCCGAGGATTGGAAGTAACAGGAACCGATTGTCCGTAACAGTGGAGTGTAACAGGAAGCGGCCCCAATTCCGTAGCAGGAACCGACCGGTTTCCGTAACAGGGCCGCTGGGCCCTGCGTAACGGGAACCAGCCGGGGCTTGGGAAGACCTAGACATGTGTTGAGACTCGCTAAAACTTTCTTCTGCGGACTTTGCCAAAGGGGGACCGATCCTCGGTCCCCCTTCTAGATGCATTTTGTCGGGCATTCCGGCTGCCTACCAACCTTAAACCAAGCCACGGCCCCAAATCATTCTGAAGCAAGGGCAGACATGTCAACTTCAGGGTTTAGGGTTTAAGGTTAGGGTTTTCGGATCCAAGTTTTTGGGTCTAGAAAAGGTATAATTCTATAAAACGGGGGCCAACGCATTGTAGTCCCTACTTGGGCTGGGGGCTCGTGATTCTGCCTCACTTGGAAGGTCAAGCGGACTTAGCCAGCGTACTTATAGCCCCTAAAAAGCATATAGCAATCTCTGTTCGCTGTTATCCCTATAATAATGAAGAAGTCTCCTTGAACCATAACCTAAAATCATAAAGTCTGACCCTTACACCCCAAACCCTGACCATCCCTGACCCTTGGAGGGTGAAGATCTAAAGGTTTGGCTTGGAATTTAGTGTTTAGGGTGTTCAGGGTTCTTATAGCCCACAAAAAACAAAAAGCAACCGTTGTTATCTCTGCAATGAATGAATCCCTTGATCCAGCACCCTAAAACCTAAACCCTGACCCTTGGAGGGTGAAGATCCAAAGCTCTAGCTTGGAGTTTTGGGTTTAGGGGCTTAAGGTTTAGTTTCAGGATTTAAGAAGGAGTGTAGAAGTAGTACTAGTGCCAGTACGAGCAGAAAAATGACTAGAATGAGGTACGAGCAAATTGCACAAAAAATAGTGTAGAAGCAGCACTGGTGGTAGCTCAAGCAGAAGATGGGTAGAACGAGGTACAAGCAAGTTGTAAAAAAGTTGTTTTGGAGAGGGACCGATTTTCGGTCCCCCACTTTGCGAGATTTGGGCTCCGGGATTTCAGTTCCGGTTTCGGTTTCGGCTGCTTGGCGGCCTGGTTTCGGTTACGTTTTGGCTGCGGTTTCTGTTACGGTCCCGGCTGGTTGCCGTTACGAGTCCGGAAAACTGGTTCCCGTTGCGGCCAACATGGTTCCTGTTACTCCTCGTGCCCCAGTGGGGCCACCAGGGCTTTGATCCGGGTAGGTCAGGGACCTGAGTAGGTCATTTGCTTGTTCAGAAGTTAATAAAGATTAGAATGGTACTGGCATAAATCCCTTGAATTTTCAACTTTTAAGTCTTGACCACCGAGCCCCAAAGCGTACACCCCTCAATAATGACAACTGCCAGGTTTCAAAGACTTGCTCGCGGCCATCATCTCGGATGCTTTTCAGGAAAGTAGCTTCACTTTGGCAGCAAACCTGTTGGACGAAGACTGCGCATTCGTTTGTGAAATTCTAGCTCAGAGCGGTCGTTTGGATGACACGTACTGGATTTGCGCGTTTGCAGTGAACCAGCACATCTGCATATGCCACAAAAACCCTTACGACCGCGATCCGTTGACGAACGAGTTGCATCCTGTATGTAGTTGCAGCAGCGTGAATTTGGTTGATCCGGATGGCAGAAGCACCGCTTCAGAGGTCAACAAGTTTGATGACATGATGCATCATCTTGTAGAAGCAGGAGGCTGCAAGCAAGTAATTGCAGTGGACCAATCCCTTGACTTGTTTCAACGTGCTTGGTGTGTTGCGGAAATTGCAGAAGCCAAACGTCTGCAAATGAATCAGGCACTCAAAGTTACATCTAAAGCAACAATCCTGCAACGTGCGCAAACCTTAGCTAATTTGGATATTAGCTATATGCGTGCGGCATGCGATGCGGACAAAAAACTGATACTCGAAAAGATCGAAAACAGCATGAGCATCAAGCAGTTCAACGCAGAGCTTCGATCGCTGATTTTTGACCCGAAATCGGGACTTCTGGCATCTTGGCATGCCATGGACAGCGCGCAACAACTTGCAGAAGTCGGCAGGTTAGTTCGATGGGGGCTTGCAGATGCAGGCACTGGGAAGGTGTGGAAAGCATGGGAAGCCCAAGAATGATCCTGGTTCCCAGTTTATACCAGATTTGTGCATCACACATCACAAGCATGCTTGTTAGATAATTTGTTGCAGACCGCAACGCCGTGTCTTGCAATTCTTTTCCATGCTGACCATGGGCAGGAGAACCCGATGGAAATTGCAGCGCCAGATGAAAGCATCTCGTGCAAAAAAAGGTGCTGCGTAAGTACATGGCATTGCCCACGCAATCCCTCCTTCCCTAACCCCTAAACCCTAAACACCTGAAAAGAAACGACTTAAAACATGACAGGTCATCATCTACACCGGCGGAACTGCCTACACCGAGCACCAGGCACAAGGCTGCCCAGCCTCTTGGTTTTCAGGGTTTTTAACAGGTTTCAAGGGCTTTAGGATATTGTAGGATTTTAGTATAGGGCTTTAGTTCAGGGTGCGGGGTTTCGGTTGAGAGCCACCGGCTCTTCCTGTCATTCAGACGCTGGCTGATTAGTCGGCACTTTCTATCGTTGAAATGCAGACATCCCAAAGCGTGGAGCACTGCTAGCAGTTTTTTTTTAGTGGTTGATGTCATACCCCCAATGGCAAAAAATAATAAAACCATAAACACAAAAATACGGCATTCAATGTAGATAATTTGATGGGTTTAGGACATAGATAAACCCATAAAATCAACATGTTTTACAACACATGCTAAAATACATAGCAAAACCCAACACAAAACAAGCAAACAAACACACAACAACAAAACCACTTAAAATCTTCATACACCATTTTTTTTGATCTTGCCAATTTTGGCATGTTTTTTACACCTTTAAGAATTCATGCCTTAAGCCTTAAATAACCTTTACTATCACCCTCCAAATAATAATAGTTTTGCCCCAGTTACTTATCTATTCTCATAACTTGTTGGGGGGTTTTCAACCAATGACTGGTGCGTTCCTTTTCACCTATGTCCTTTTTACGCATCATTTTAACCCTATCACTTACTTCTATTTCTGGGTATGTTCTAT